CAACAGTAGGCAGAATATATCAGAAGCAAAAGTGTTGAATAAGAATTTTTTTGAATGTTGCCGACAGATGTGAAAATTTTACAGTGAGAGACGAAAGATTTTTGTGAAGGTAAAAGGAAAGTGAAATTACTATTTAAGTGTCCATTACAGAATTATTCTATTGCACAGAGGGAAAATTAAAATAAACGAAAGGAAAGGCTGGTGTGAAAATCTGGCAGCTTTGTGTTTGTTATGGTTGTTTATGTATCATTGGGTTATGGTAAAGGTTTCGGTGCAGTSAAGATGATTTGACCAATGTTGCCAGTTTAGTCAGTGGCTTTATACCACATATATCGTTCAATATTTCAGTTGTCCTAATAAAATCGTGTTTTTCTTGTAACGATGTATCTTTGTTCTTTTAATGAAAAAAATGTGAACACTCGTCCTAGACCTCAAAAAAATAGTATGTACCTGAATGTACTTTCTGGCTATAATCCGTGCAAGTTGCAAGAGTATGAAATATACCTGAATTTAGCTCCTTTTTGTTTTAATTTCCWTCTGGTGAGTAACTTCTTTAAATATGAAGATAAATATGAAAATAAAAAGCAGTTAATAGGATGGAAGCTGGCGGCGACTGAGATAGAACCGGGTCTGTGGAGGTACTGGAGGAGCACCAAATTTTGACGTTCGTCAACAAGAATTAAGAGTATAGTTTTTAAATTTAATAAATCTGTAACCTCGCCCTCTTTCACATGAGATAAAACGAAATTAGGTAACTAAGACCTAAATGTCTTAGTATTGTACATACGGCTACCCCCTGAGCTTTGTGTCAGGAAAAGTCAGGAAAAATTAGTATATTCTACAAACAACCATAACACTAAACATAATTTTAACTTTCTCAACACAAATCTTTTCAAACRCATAGAAAATACTCTTTATGTTAACTTTAGGAATATTAAAGTTTTGGTTTTTAGATATCTTCATACAATAATTTTCTGCAAACTTTGCTTCCAATTTGAATAATTGAGAAAACGTCTTCCGTGTTCAAAGCCACTGTAAGCATGATTTCTGGGAAACGGATAGTCATGACCTAAGTCACTTGCGACAACGAGCCACAATCCAATCGGATATTTTCTCACATTAGTGGAATTAAGGAAAACTTAATGTCAGTTACCCTTATGTATGAGCATGCATGTATGTATATTGGCATATTACATACTTATCTTAMAATATTATGGGGTGGCCATTTTCGGTTGCACCGCTGTGTCGGAAATATATATATAAATAATGCATTTCACCTGTGTCTACCAAAGGCATACAAAAATYGATTTACAGTACTTTGCCTCAATTACCCTACCGGTAATTAATTATTTATAAGATGAAATGGTTTCAATAAGTCATTTTACATGACGCTTCACCAAGGCTGAATACTAAAAGTATTGAAGAATGCAGAATGTGTCAGATAAAAGTGAAGAGTTGAGAACGCTGAMTGTGGCTGGTGGTAAAATAATACATAAGTGGAAAAGAGAGCGGGAATGGACATTGCCGGTACTAAGATTGAACGAAAGATGAACAAAATAATAATACCGCAGATACAAAAATTATTTGCAAACATGCTTACAAAGTCAATTACAAAGTAGTAGTAGTAGCAATGTACGCTCTGGAAGTATGTCTGTATGTCTTTTCCTTTCAACTGTTTTCAATTATATCTCTCGTGTGTACTGTGTGTACATATCCTATGAATTTGTCAGTCCTACTAAAAAAAAGACAGTAAATCAATGCAAGCATCAAAGTTAAAATAAAAGCAGAAGCCTACTAAATATAATCGAGGGTATCTCTCCTTAAGAATAAAGCCAACTTATTGCTTCACTTGCCAACTATATATATTTTATATATATGTATATATATAGTATAACGTTAACGTACACGCATTTTCTTGTCGCTTTAAACAAATGAGCAAAATTGCGAAACGAACGGGACACAAGCAACGAATAATTCTGAATGAGTACGTAGCGCAGGCTTGACAA